GAAGTTGTTTTGTATTAAATGATATGCATGTACATGAGTGTACTGTTTGTAGGTCTTGTACATGTACATGTAGATCAAATTCAACAAAACAATCTGACCGATCCCAGATCCTACTGTTAAATTTAGCCTTGGGAAGAGTGTGTTGCTCCCTACATGGGAGCTCGCGGTTTTCCTGCCCCCTTGAATTCTCACTTGACTGACTCACGACTGCCATCCAGAGCACACGAGAAGTCCATCAAACCGTCCACTCGGCAAACCTGCAAGAAAGCACCACTCCCTGCTCAGCGTGTGCTCTGGATGGCAGTCGTGAGTCAGTCAAGTGAGAATTCAAGTGGGCAGGAGAACCGCGAGCTCCCATGTAGGGAGCAACACACTCTTCCCCTACTATCGCCGAAGTCGCACCAACCTCTTCTAATGTAGGCTTGTTTCTACTTCCCTCTTAGTTAATGGTCCCTGATTATGTTGACTTGCAAGTGGGAAGAACACATTGTACTGTTGAAGTCCAAAATACTTCTACAATGTGTTCCTTCTTCCCATTCCTCATTAACATTTCACCTCAATGTCTTCAGGAGACTCCCTTTGATGTACCTGTCCAGGCATCCATTTGGCTTTGGCGAATCCTTGACTTTGAAATACAATGCCAATGCCTCGAATTCAAAAAGGTGATACTAGCCACTGCATTTGGATTGGCGATTTCACCTTCAAAAGCCTGTGTCGATGAAAACTTTCGTCTCTACATAGCGACACAGCATGTGCACAAGAACTACAAGGACGCCTACACTACACGCCACACATCCCCGTAACACAAGAATGTCCTAGTTCGCAGATGGAGCGTTGTCGGAACTATGCCAATCAGGATCGCCAGCGATTCACATCACGGTCCGTGCGATGAGTGGTTCCACTCGAAATTGACGCTGCCGTACTGCTCGCTCTGAGCGGCAGCGTCAGAACGAATTAACTTTAGTGTTACTTCTGGCATAGGCCTGGTCCGAATCAAAAATGAAACACTCAATCCGAGAGAGTGCCAGAATGACATGTGCAAATCCTTGTCGCGGCATGCTTGTAGTACTTTAGCACATCAATCATCATAATCTACAGTGTACTTGTCACCATGGCATTGGTCGGTGTCTGAACCGAGTGCAGTGGATTCCCATCGATAATGTAAATCACTGCAAAAGCCGAAAAGGCCCTTCGCGGGTTCTGCTTTGCGGTGCGTGCCGCATCGTCACGTGGAGGCCAGCGCCCGCACACATGTCGGAATCGGATTACGCCGACGCAGCGTAGATGCGCGAGCCAGAAAGCCTCGGTTCCCAGCAGGGAGAAATCGGCCCAGGAAGAATGATCGTAATCAGCGACGCAGGCACGTCGAAACTAAGCTTCAGGGCTTCTGCACGGACGTAGGTCTCGTAACCTCTTCGAGGATGATTTCTCTGAGGCTTGACCCTGCGATGTGGGTATAAATACCGTGTACCAAGTCCCATTCAAAATGCTTGTGTTTTACTTCGACGAGAGGCGGAGAAGAGAAGAGAAAGGTTCAGAAAATGGCACCTACAAACAGAACAGGGCGGCATTGCCTGCGGTGGATTTGTCTACTTGTGCTGGGCCTGATGATTTCGGAATTTCAGGGCGCGACCTGTCAACCCCAGGAGTTTCCTTCCGCCGAAGAGATTCGTGCCAGCGAGCTACGACGCGGTCTGGCATTTTTCCTTGGGGCTAAGCTGGCTCGCAGTCATTTGACCGACGAGCAAGCGTGCTTGTTGGCAAGTGTGGCGGAAAACGATGTGCTGGTAGCTTGGAGCAGGACCGACCAGGATGACAATATTCGCATGGTCTTGGACTTGATCGGTGTGAATGCGACCGCGGTCGAGGTGCACGGCGGCGTCGGGCAGAGGAGCAGCACGCGGCGCTTTCGGCGCCTGCTGCGCGACCAGTGCCAGGCGATCTTCATCAACTCGGGCTCGCCGGCCATCCAGGACGCGGGGCTGGTGAGGAGGCTGCGCCGGTCTGTGGTGCGTGGTGGTGTCGTGATCACTACTGATCGTGCTGTACCCATGGCTGAAGACCCGGAGTTTGTCGGCAGCGACTGGACACTTACCAGCAGACGAGCACCTCTGTATCCAATGAATCAGAACCTAGTGGTTAGTGAAGAACCCGCCGGAGTGGAGTCATCACAGAGGAGATGCAGGCAGGGCGCTGCATACACGATCGATGTAGTCCGCCAGCTGAAATCCCTCTCGCACGGCCAGTCCTCGTCGCCGCAGTGGAACCTGCAAGAGTCGTCGCGCGTCGTCCGCCTGTGGAAATCCAGCAACATGACGCGCGTGCTGGTCACGGACGACCTGCCTCGACGCTGGTCCACGCTCCTGACCTGCGCCGACCTGGGGCACGGACAGTTCTACCACGTGACGGGACCGCTGGCGCAGGTCCTGCCGCGGCCGCGCAGCAAGACGATGGTGCTGCTGCCGTTCATACTGGACATGCTGGTGAGCCGGGGCATCCTGCCGCTGAGCAGACAGGAGGTGGAGTGGGTACGGCCGCTGGTGGAGCAGGTGCACGACGTGACGCTGGAGAACATCGCAACCGCCGCCGTGGCATGCTCCATGGCCATCAGCTTCGTGCTGCAGTCGCAGACCAACGAGCAGTGCGTGCAGTCTCAGAGCCTGCAGCACCATAGCTGCCTGCAGGAGCGCGGTGGGATGTTGTTGACACCGAACACCGTCACCTCCAGGCCACAGCCAGTCCCTGCAGAGCAGACGGTATCTGCTGGAAGTACGCCTGCTACCAGTGGAGTACCGTTGGCTATGCCTACGGAATACAGTGATGCCATCACCGTGCTACCCACGAGTCCCAGTCCAGATAGTACCCATACGACTAGCTGAGCACAAGGCTGAGGCAGAACAGCTGTATCAGCGCCCTTGAGACCAACACCGACTTACCCGGCCCAATGTTGAGAATAGTTGAATTATACACGTGCACACCACGCACGCACACACACACACACACACAATGACATTCTCTGCTATAGTTTCATACTGCGGATGATTTACTAATGAAGTATATTAAAGAACTAGTGAGAACTCTTTGAAGCAAGATTTCAGCACAACAGGAATGATCAGATCATTTATTGCATCCATTACGGCTGACTAGTCATTCACGCTTCACAGACAGAATTTAACTGTTACTTTCTAAATGCGTACAGTAGAGTCACGCGCCCAAGAACGTTGTTTCCAAGGGGCTACTAGCCTGGGACATTCTTATTTTTCAGCAATCTGGCTGCGTTCTTATAACACGTTCTTAGAAACAATCCGTACTGAATCATATGTATCCCACAAGCTGCCATAAAACCAACACCACCGTTCTTAACTTTAGCCCGTGGCGTTCTTAGTACTCCGGGCTGGACGTTCTTGGGCTCCACGTTCTTCAGCGCGCGACTCTACTGTATGTAACTGTTGGTGCATAACAGATATAATGCACCACACTCCTGTCTGCAGATTTCTACATGCCATGCGTAACATAAATAAGAATGTATTCCTCTTGATTTGCTGTAGAGCATTCTTCGGCCCACGCTTTTCTAACATAATTATATTGTTTGCCCCAACGCCTGCAGCATAAGGTGGATTCCGCCTAGCTTGATCATGCACGCATGAACACTGTCACTTCAGCAATATGCAATTTTCAAACGTAGGCCAGCCTGACAAGTAAATTTTATCTGCCTTCTATTCTTAAAACTTGGACAAATCAAGTCCAACAAAATCAAAAAGGCTAAACTGTAGAGGAGTGAGACGTGTCGGTGGTGTTGTTGGCGCCAGGGAGTCGTGAAAATAGTCACGGGCGTGTTTTAGGGCTTCCTTGTGGCTGCATGAGCGCAGAAATACACGGTCCCTTTGAAAAAGCATTGCCATTTTTTTAATTCCATGGGGTGTGTGTTGTACACCTGGTGGCCATGTTCTGGCTTTCGATCCAACCAACGCAGTATTTTTTGGGCTACAGTCAACTTCGCTAATAACGACTGCGGATATAACGACAATTCGCGAATAACGACAGAATTTCCATGCCCAGAGCAAAGTACCATCCAACTGAAATACATAGAATGAGACTTCGGGTATAACGACACTTCGCGAATAAGGACACTTTTCTGATGCCCCGCCGAGTGTCGTTATAAGCGAAGTTGACTGTATGTGCTGGAGAGCTGAGAGCTTGTGCATGCACCAATTGCTGCAGAAAAGGAACCGTTTAGAAGAGAGGTCTGCAAGTGCAAGCTTGGTATAAGAAGCCTTGCTTGGTAGTTAAACATGTTTTTCGATTTTGACAGCATGACCGGGACTTTGCCAACCGGGTTATGGTTGTAGTCAGGAGCACTATGCGTCCTCGCCTTGTACTGTGACATGCTGTCAAAATCGAAAAAGTGCAAGCTTGTAGCTAAACCTACTCCATTGTACAATACTACCAGACTAGGTCCAGTAGGCAGTAGTAACAATAGTGTCAATACACATGACCGAAGGACGTACAGTGCTGCTGGACGAAATCCAGTCCTGTGAGTCAAGCACATCATGCCGCGAGTTATGCAGCCCCAGACCTACGAACACTGAGTGCGTTCGATTATGCACGCGAATCGATTCACGAATCGATTCGCGCTATTCACATCACCCCATGTGAATAGAGTGAATGGATTCCGAATCGATTCCAGGGCTCAGGACATGAAATCGAACGACTTGAATGCATGCGAATGGATTCATGAATCGATTCAAGTGTGTAATCGAACGCACTCACTGCGCAGGGAAGCGGTGCAGGGGATGTCATTGAGCAGCACTGTAGCGCAACAGTATTGCACTATCACTACTTTACAGCGTGTACTCAGTCGACCAAACGCAGGAGCACACAATGCACACGCGCTTTGAAGCTCTAGACCCGCAGCGCAACAGGCACAACCTGCCGCGCAATAAAAAAAAACCGCTCACCATCTTCCTATTCACAACACAAAATCGGACCGCACCACCAGGTAAAAGAGTCAAGAGCGGAAGAAAGCTTGCAACATCCAGAATCAGGAACAGGGAAGGAATTCAGCACGTTCAGTACTCACTATATACAGGAGGTTCAAATAAGGTTAGCAACATCATGAAATAAATCGAAATATATCCTAATATTCAGCAAGGCAGCAAAATAATATTATTGTTGCATGGGTCAGGTAAGAAGGCGCTGGCAAAAAGATTACAGCTAAAATATAAACAAGTTTAAAGGCCTGTACGGAGGAAGGCAGGTACGGTAGCATATGTGCTGACCGCACGCGCACAACCATGAAAAGGCACCGGTGGAGGACCAACATCGCGGCAATTCACCACCGCTGCAGCCTCCCGTCCATAACGGTGGCACATGCTATGGTGTGAATGCACGTCCGACCGTGCGCATTCACGCAAGGAACCCTCGCGTAGTTTCATCCCGGTTAACTGCGAACGGTCTATATCCACACTGAGCGGCGGTCGGACTCAGATTAGCATCGGGGCACGACCAGAGGTGGAGAGGGGAGCAGAAATCACCGGTTGCCGAGTGCCTACAACTCATCGTGATTGCCTGCGAACGTGTAGCGATTCTTGCCGGGCGCCAGCTTGGCAAAGGCGCTCTTTGGCGGCGCTCGGAACTGATGCTCCTGCATACCGCCACCGACTACTGGGGCTTGTGACGGCATGACAGCTTCATCGGAGGAAGGAATGCCCGGGGCGTTCGGCCCCTGCTCGATGTCGGCCATTGGATCGGCCGGTGCCTGCTGCTCCAGCTGCGGCTGCTCAGTGGGATCGGGACCGTAGTGGAATTCGCGATGCAGCTTTCCCGAGTGCAAGTCGGCGACAAACTGACGCAGCTTGCTGGGCTTGGCGAGGTCTTCCTGGAAATTGCCCGGAAAGAGGTACATGTGCCGGAAGCTGTCGATGGCCAGCACAGGCAGGTCATGTTTAGACTGGACAGCAGACACACACGATACAACACAACACAAACAAAGTTAGTGTTCGATGGGAGAAAGCAGAAGCAGGCGGTACGATCAATCATAGGCGTTAGTAACTACTACTAACGTACATTTAAAGCACACACCACATGCACACACCCACAGTAAATACTGCACGTGGAATGCATGTATACTGCACGCACACCCACACATACCCACACACATCTGAACATGCGTGTTGCCGTAGAGAACACGTCAACACAGACACACTACAGTCCATTTCAAAAACATTGACAATCAGGTGCTTGTCTTAAAAAGTATGAAGATAAGGGAAAATCGGAAAACAAAGTACATAGAGGGGCTAGTTAGGGCATGGCAAATTGTTCTGTGAAGGTTTCGGAACAATTGGACCAGCCGTTAAGGAGTTAAGGATTTCGGTCAGATTCCTGACCTTTTCCCCTGGTTTTGACTTTGCCCAGGAAGCCAGTAGCGATTTTCATCAAAAACCCACGATTTATCTTTGCCTTTTTGGCCTTGTGGTTATGAATGCTGTCTGCTGACCATGAAGTTGTGGGTTCAAATCCCAGCCTATCTCCAACTCAAACCTTTTCTTCAAAGAAGGTGGCTGCCCCAAACGACTTGTTGAATGTTGTTGTTGGAGTTTGCGCTTCCTGCCGACTGACTGAAACTTGACTGGCTCACGTCATGTGAACATACACAAAACACTGAAACGGTGTGAGTGAGTAGAAGTCATGGCGTTGTAGCTCTGTGTTGAATACAGTCAACTTCGCTAATAACGACTGCGGATATAACGACAATTCGCGAATAACGGCATAATTTTCATGCCCGGAGCAAAGTCCCATCCAACTGTGACACATATAATGAGACTTCGGATATAACGACACTTCGCGAATAACGACACTTTTCTGATGCCCCGCCGAGTGTCGTTATAAGCGAAGTTGACTGTATACAGGCACATCGATTGATTGACTTCTTGTTGAGAATTATTTTAGTATTTCACGATCGTCCATTTATTTGAATTTAGGAGTCGGCGACATCTTCTATCAGCTTCCACAGGTGTCTGCTTTTCTCAAAATTTCGCCGAAGTCACACGGATCGATGGCTTTGCCAAGTCATGGCCCGGAGAATGAGTCCGTGTCCATGTCGTTTTCGTCACACGGTGAGAATAAATTGCATCGCAGGGACGCAGCTCAAAGAAACTATTTGGTCACAAAACAAATTGGGACTCCTGCCGCGCTTCAACATTTACCAGGGTTTCGACTTGTCCTCTACGACTCTATATCGATATGAGCAAGAAGTAGTAGCAGTTGTTTGTTGTAAACCAGACGTACATGTACCTGCGTACCCGAGTTGTCACAGTTTTCCATGCTCTCGCGCGGAATATTTCTTCAAGTTCACAGCGAGTTTTCCCAGGCATCACATACGGTAAGACGGCAAACTCCCCTGGCGATCGCCAGGATTGTCAATGTTTTTGAAATCGACTGTAGCTGTCTACCACAAGACCTGGCAGAAGGCACCAGAAGAAACTTCTGGGGTTCAAATGCTACCCTCAAGCTCAAACAGTCCAAAGCACAGTTTAATGTGAAACAGGAAACTTCATGACATACTTCTTCGTACGAGTTTTCCCATTATTTTAGTGGCCACTGATGCTCACGCTTCAGGCCTTTCAGATGACAATACGTCCACCTCAATCATTGCGGGTGGATATTGTTTCTACAGATGTGGAAAGGTCTGTCAGATTGGCTATTGCCTTGAGCCAAGAATTTCATTTGCACCCAAACCAATGCTAGTAAACAATGCATGTAGTTCATTTGAGGTCAATAATGAATGGAAAAAGATGCGTCAGGACGTTCACACTACCCACTTGCACTATTTCCTCCAAACAAAAAAAGCGGAAGCGAAAAATTTACCCTTTTCAGTGATTTCCTTACATTACTGATCGTTTTACCAGGACCCAACACCAAGTGCCATGATCGCGCTTTCGAGTTTTTACTTCGTGCCTTAGGCTGCAACCACACTAGGTACAAAATCAAGTACGCGTTTGCGTTCAGCTTTTAGATAACGCAAAGTCGCATCCACACTGCCATTTCATGCGCAAGGAATCCTTGCGTTTTGTCTACATTTCTGGGTCCCAGATAAAATCGCGCTGTGAAAATGTATGTAAATAGTTTGAAAAAGAGTCGCGAGCGCCTTGACTGTGACATACACGTTCAAGGCCTCGGTCATCTCCTTCTCGCGGATGGTCCGCTCCAGGCTCTCATCTGGCCCTGCTTCGTCTTCTGGCACGCTGCCCGAAGCTGCATGAGCTTCTCAGTTCGAGATTATCAGCGAAATACAATGTAGTTGCGCGGCATCTCGAACTAACAACAGCAGGCAATAGGACTGTCCGGAAATTATACTGAAAGCAAAGCCCTGGCAGATGAAATCTCAAATACTACAAACTGACAAGGAAGCCGTCTACTACCGACACAGTGCAAGCCTCAAGAAGAATTCTAAGAAACATCTACTATGTATGAAGAACCGAGCGAAACGCAAGGAAAAGGCGAAAAGTTGCTTTCTACAGGGGTACCCGGTTTGCTGAAACGAAACGCAGTACGTTTTGCGTTTCGCACTCGTTTCCTTGACGAAAAAAGCAGAAAAGTTGCGTTTACGCAGTTTTGTACCTAGTGTGGTTGCAGCCTTAAGTGTTTTTCATTGATCACCAGGAAAACATGGCCGTGACCGCAATGAGAGTGCGTAACGCTCGAACAAACAAGGTTGGCGGGCTAGACATTTAACAAGGTGGCATGCAACAAGTTCCTAAGAGGAAGTTCAGTTGCTGCCAAAGCTGCCATTTCACGCCATGTATCGTCATTAGTTGCTTTCGGTTTTCCTCGGTGTGTTGTTGCTGTTTTTATTTGATTTCGCGAACCAAACACGCATTGCCTTTATGATGATTAGTCTTCTGCAAGTGTACGTGTTCCAACCTTGCTCAAGAAACAAGAGGAAGTTCATGGAGCACAGCACAACAGTGACAAGCACAGCCACTCTACCTTGCCGAGATGGTGAAGCGGATGTGAGAACTGCAGACCGTCCGCATGGATAAAGTTCATGGCGCTGCGCTCGGTGATCAAGTCCTGTCGCACCTGGCGTTCGAACATTTGCAGGCTCTGCGTATCGTCGGGATGGTGGAAGAGGATGAGGAACGGCAGGCCCTCTTCCGTGAGGCCCTCGGCGTTTGCAAACGTGATCTCGCGCACGAGCGGGATGCAACGGTCGGTGACAAACCCGATCATGGACTGGTGATCACTGTGATCGCCGTCAAACTTATGCTCAGCATCCACTTCGTTCTCCTGGTGAATACCGATGCTGACGTCACCAGGCCTGATGACAGAAATGAACGGACAGTCGTCCTTCAGCACGGTGGACGCTTTGTCAAATGCGGCATACTCGGTCCCTTCCTTGTGAGGGAAAAATCCTACAATGGAGCGTTTGCTGACATGCTGGCCCAGCTCGTGGTGAGCAACATCCTTGATGGATGGCGTGAGCTCCGAGCGCACAAACTCCAGAAACGCATCGGGGGACCTCTGACCACGGTACTCCTTCTTGAGCGCCTGCCCATTTCGGAAGACCTTCAACGTAGGATACTTGTTTATGGAAAATTTTTGTGCAGTGTTGACTTGGGCCTCACAATTCACTCGTCCCAGCGCTACTCCTGTAGAGAATTCACCTTGAATTTTGTTGGAAGCCTCTTCAAAGATAGGTGTAAGCATCTGACTAAATCGGCACCAGTTAGCATAGAAATTGACAATAACTAACTGATTGCCTGATATTATTGAGTCGAAATTATTATCATCCAATTCAACAACAGCTGTTTGTGCAAAATGGACCAGAAAGGCCGAAAGCAGCAAGTGACAACCAAGGCGCAGTTCCATCTTCCTAACGAAAACACTAAAAATCCAAAAGAAATCTATAGGTCCTCGGCACGGACAGGAAGGCTCAAAAGAGAACGCAGCCTGGCTTGCCAGAAACAAGCTGACGAACGAATTATTTTACAATATTGTAGTTCATACTTCCACACGTATATGTACAGGTCGACTCGACTGACTGTGTAGGTCTAGTACGTTCAGTACAGCAGCGCAGTGCGGACGGTCAAGCCAAAAAAAAAGAGTAGACGACGTGTTTCTGTCTACATTCATTTTGGCTTGACCGTCTGCATGCACTGCAGTCTGCACTGCTGTACTGAACGTACTAGACCTACACAGTCAGTCGAGTCGATCTGTAGACTGTAGTCCTACGTGTGGAAGTATGAACTACTACAACTTGTACTGTGTAGTACAATTTTTGAGGGAGATCTACATGTACGTAGCTACCGTAGTACCGGTAGCTTGGCAACCGACAATGTAGCCAATCAATGCAATCGCGTATACATCGGCCAGCTTGCACTTGCACAAGTTAGTTGCAGGTTGGGAACCGGAGGGGGAGTAGTGAAATTAAATTAAGGGGGTTGGGGACAGTTAGGCCCAAAAATTTAATTTCAACATCAGCCCAATCTGACATCAGGTTTGAATAAGTACAGCCTTATATTTTCACTTAGGGACCATCGCAAAAGTTCGCAGAAGCCCCCGAAACGAAGACCGTGAGTTTCGGGCCTGACCCCCCTCCCTCCCCCCTCAAACGAAACGACAGTCACAATATGGGCTTCATTTTTTCACTTCGATGCTCACACATAATAATTATTATAATAATACTACACAAGCATTGTTGTATCAGTGTGTAACAATGTACAGCACTTTATAAATGCAACGATGATATCACCTTGCAGTGGGTGATCTAAGAACGAGAACAGCTAGAGCTATGCAGTTGTATCCTTTGAGCATTACAATGAACGTTGATTGGTGTATATTGCTTTCACATTCAAGCGATATATCTACGCCGGCTGTGATGGCATGCTAATCCTACAGCTCCTATAATTATGTCGTCAATACTTTTTTGAATTGAAGCCCGGTTTGTGATTTTCGCACCGACTCCCTCCCCCCCAAACGTATGCTCTTCGTTTCAGGGGCTTCTGCGAACTTTTGCGATGGTCCCTTAGTAACATCAGTTTTTCAATTGCCTGAATAGGTCTTGCCAAAAACACAATTTTCCTTGATATTAAACACACAATATCGCAAAATCCGAAAATTGATGAGATATCGTCGATAACACCAGATAAGACAGAAAATATGACATAAAATTACTAGGGCTCAAACGGTCACGGTTTTACCCCTAACGGTTAACTGCTAAGCTAACGGTCGGTTTAACGGTTATAACCTATAACTTAGTATAAGCCACGGCAATCCTGCGGACTCTTTTTTAACCGTATATTTGACTATATTCCGAAAAATGTACCCTATTCAGTACAACGCACACATGTACATTCTCTTGCATGCTCATTCATACATACTCTCACACCAAGAGACCAGATATGACGAGTTGACAGCCTAGAAATTGCGTACGCGTGCGACAGCCTGCGAAAGTGCATACTTTGCAACGACCTGATACTTGAAAAATTGACTGAAAAGTTACTCCGTAACCGTTATCTTTATTGGTTAACCGTTAATTCTTCGTAACCGGTCTGCAACCAGTTAATCGGACTAATCGTTTGAGCCCTAAAAATGACAAAGACTGTTCGAGGTATTTACTAAGATGATATCAACACCGAAAAATGTACACTTTGGTTGACGATGGGATCCAGGTCGTCATTTCCTGGAGAAGAACAAAAAGACGCAAAAAATGAAACTTTAAATATTTTTGCAGCTTATTTTTGAGTTTGCCCCATATATGGATACTTCAAATACGTTCTATAAGTGGGTTGGAACAGGTTTACCGTGGCGAAAACAGGGGTCACCGTGCATATTCAGGAGAAAAATCCAAAAAAACTGTCAAAATTTGCCTAAAATTGGTAAATTCACGTACTTGAAGTATCTATATTGCTTGTACATGTACTTCTCTGCTGCTGCTTTGGTCATAGCTTATTGGATTTTTGGCTGTTAGGTGTTGCATAAACTCGCTAGAGCCCTCGGCGTTCAGAACAATACAAGGATGGAATAGCCGAACTAGTGAATTTGCCGGAAACCCCTGGGTGCACGCATCATCGATAGCTACTTTTCTCCCGGATGATTACTCTCCTGTTGGTACTTGGTTTTGATACATGTACATGTAGCTGTGATAGCGCTTAGCACAGCCCCATAACTTATCAAACTACAATAAAAGCTGACATGTTGGAACGAATCAGACAACATTGAGTCCTCTTGTTCTTCAACTATGCGAGCTAGAACGTGTCCCCACACTGGCAAAAATGATGGTATTTTACGGTGCGCACAAACAAGTGAAGCCCTGTGCCACAGGGCGTTACTTACAGTTGGGTTGCTGCTGGTTCTTGGCTAGGTGTTCAGCCACCGCTAATATTATCTTCCATGAGGCTGTCACCCGCTTCTTACCTCCGACTTGCTCCTTCATCAGTCTGGAACTGGCTGACTCACCACTTCGTTTGTAGGACAAGACAAAGTGCTTCATCACCAATCTACTAGCAGCTGCCCGCACTACAACTGATTTAGAGAAGCACGTTGCTTGGACCAACGGTTGAAGGGTGACCAGCCGCTTTTGCTGATGTTCTGCAAACTCCTTCGCCGAACATGCTGATGCAAAAGTGACAGAGTGCTACAGGATACTGGCATCAGGGCGAGCTTCAACAATTTCAGCTAGGGCCGCAACAGCATCATGAGCAGCGAACTCATTCCCAACGATGAACTATAAATCAATGTGAGGCTGTAGCTTGGGAGCTCCAGTATCGCGGTTTAGGGATCAGAGTGTTCACCCAGCACAAAAATGCACATCATCGACAAACACATGCGTGCACACATACACACACACACACACACACACACACACACACACACACACACACACAAACACACACACACACACACACACGTAACACAAAACAATTATAGAACCGCAATAATGGGATAAAAGTACCGGCAATCAGAATTGAAAACACTCATCATTGAACGCACTACAAAACGCAGGCCCACGCCAATACACACACACACACGCATGCTCTCACACGCAATAGAACACACGGGCTCGTACACACACATACATTCACGCACGTGTACGTACCCACCCACATGCATGTGCACACTCATGTGCATGAGTGGAGATGCCCGCATACACATGTCACACCAACATGCCCTGGGAGCGGTCATGCACGTGTGTATAGTATGTGTGCGAGGGCACGTCCACATGAGCGCATGTGCATGTTCATACATGCGTATGGTGCACACATGCACAAACATGCAGGTCAATGCAAACACACACATGCTCGCGCGCGCCGTGCATACAGTGTGCTCATACATTTCCATTGCCATAGGGTGGAAATGACTCGTAAATATCATGAATAAATCTTATGAGATTGAAAAACACACTTACCCAAAGCAGCTTTGGTGTTGCTTGTGGAAGCACGGAGGCCAGGGTGTTGAGCATAAAATTCTCCATCCCACACTGCTGACACGGAATGACAAGTACGCTGCCCAGGCCGTACCTCTTCTCTTCAACGCAATCAATGAGCGCCAGAGGTTTGCCACATCCAGGATTCTGGCACGCAGACAATCCCACAGCCAGATACCTGAGATGAACGATTCGTCGACCGTGTTCGTCGACCGTGAAGAGGGGCACTGAACGACCTCTTCGCGGGAGTCGAATCCAGTGGCGTTGGTGGTGGAGATCGCCCTTTCCGTTTTTCAGGAACTCGATCGATCGTTTGAGCTTGCGAAGCGTCCCCCTCCTCGGCTTCTTGAATCGTCCAGTACGCAGAATGCGAGGCCGCGTCGTGGGTGACTGACAGATTACTCTCCCGCATCTTCATCTCCACGACACGTCGGCAGGAGAACCAAGCTATCCAAAAACCGCCGATGTCAAAACAAATCCGCAAGTCCACTAGTGGCTGAGCTTCTTCCTCAAATCTTGTCTCGACTCGAGCACGCGCTGGGAAGTCATGGTCAAATTGCTTAGGGCGCGCTCACACTGCGACCATGAGCACGCGTCCATGCGTCAGCAAAACGCAGAAACGTGGCAGTCGTGCTCACACTAGGCCTCGTACACGCGTAGACGTGAAGTTGTCACACAAACTTTACGAATTGCAGTTCGTATCCAAAAGACTTTGTGTTGTTGTTGTTTGTTGTTGTTTCTTTATTTTACTTCACCATATGAACAGGCAAGACTGCCTTCTCACCGGGGCTGTTGGCCCACGGCTCTCACAATATGATGAAAATGTTTAAAATGTGTATGAAGAAGAAAGGAACGGAAAAGAAGATGAAATGAAAGGAAAGAAAACAGTAGGTATTAATTTTATGAAGGGGGGGGGGGTATGAAATGGGTATTATCATAGTTGATGAGAGAAGTATGATATACAATATTCTTGTTCTATAGACTATTTAGTACGGGCATTTCATGAGAGTCATGCATGGGCAAGGCAGGATTTGGACTAGAATAGAGGACAAGAACATACCGTATATTCTCTATTATAAGCGCCGTGCTTATATTTCTTCAACACCCCTCTACCCCGTGCTTATATTGGAGACCGCGCTTATATTGGAGACCGTGCTTATATTTTTTCAACCAATACATTCATACAGAGCAAGAAGAAATACATGCTAGATATCATGCATGCAGCATTGATCCCACCAAGACCGTGCTAATAATAGAGACTGTGCTTATAATGTTTCGAAGGGTGCTCACAGTGTGCTAGTATTAGAGACTGTGCTAGTATTAGAGACTGTGCTAGTAATGGAGACCTGTGCTTATAATAGAGAATATACAGGCAGAATCTGTGAAGAAGACAGTAGGCACAACATCGGAGAGCTAGTTGACGAGGGAGATGAGGTCATAGCCAGACAGCAATGCTTGAAACGTGTGGCGTACGTCGCAAGCGCGATTGTGCGTTTCCTAATACATGTAAAGTTGTGCATGTGGCCCATTTTGGATGGAATTTTTCGCATGTTGCATGTTGGATCATGGAGGAAGT